GGGAGTACAATTGGTGGAGAAAAAGGGGGTGGGGGGGGGGGGGGGGGGAAGAGAGAAAAAGTGGGTGACTAAAGCTATAGCACATATTGACAAACATTTAAGTCTTAATCATCTCTTTGTATTCGCAGATAGCTTTGGACTAAAGACCTGCTCTCTTCTCCAGTGCTGAAAAAGTTAAATGTGATCAGTGGGTTTGTAATGATGCAGTAGAAACAGATTTTGCTTTTTTTTTTTTTCCTGAAAAATGTGGTGTGAAACACTCTAAGTGCTACCACGGGACAAAAAAGAAAAGTGAGAAAGAGAATGGTCAATATTTTTTATTTTTTTTTAATACTAAGTGCATCATATTTAAATGGATTTTTATGTACCTTAGTTTCCATCTTTACATTACTTAGTATGGGTATGATCTCTACTGATGAAGGTTTATTTTTGGAACAGCCACTGGCAGGTAGTTAGTAAATACGGTTTAATGCAACTCACTTTTCACTCCGTTTATGAAAAGTCAATAATATGGCACAAATATGGCTGACTAAAAAAAGGTGATGGTATAAAGCAAGCCAAAGTGATATCTGTAACAATGCAAAGAGTAAATGCCTTCAGTATAATTTAGAATTACCTTATTGCTTCGGTGACTAAAACATTACTACAGTCCAGAGTGATAATCCCTATTTAGGCAATGGTAACTGTGTCTTAGAGCTAGCTGCAGAATTAATCCCCATGTTAAAAACAAATCTTTCAACAAATACAAAATTCATTAAATGAAGAAAATAAATGCCAAATGCTACTTGTGAAGGAAGCAGCATATCTGAAATTTTACAAAAAAGGAACACATGTTAATGCCGCTAAGAAGCTGTCTCTTTTACAGTGTTTCTTTTTACTCCACAGCAAATCCCCATCACAAGAGAAGAATGGATTGTCATGATGTCTAACATTCCACTGAGCATCACAGTAACAACTTAACTGTACAAAATAAGCCAGACCAACTGGGCCATAGTTGTTACCTTGAAAGTTTCTCATTTTAGAGACTATACATAGAGCTTACTGTAGAAAGCCAATCAGTGAAGGGAAACAATAATAAATTAATAATGAAATAAATAGATATTTTAAACAGCAATAATACTGGTCTTTCTCACACTAGTCCTGTGAGATTTATAATTAACATTTGTTAATTTGCTTCAGTTAAGGCATGATGATTTTTATACATGGTACATATACAGAATAAATGACTGATAATCACAGCCACCCTCGAAGCAGTGAAGTAAGAATCACTAAGGAATTATGGCAGAAATAAGCTGAAAATTTAATCGCTGAAAACACAAACAATGGAGCAGTAAAGAAACCTGTTGTGGTTTAAGCCCAGCCGGCAACT